TCTCCTCGCTACAGTTGTCACTGACCCGACCTTTGAGTCCTCTGCTGCGTCTGCTCTGGTCGCTGAGTTGGTTGACTTTGCTGCTCGCTGTCGCCTAGACTACGCTGCCAGCCTTGTCGCTAGGTCTGAGTCTGCGTCTGCCTGTCCTCCGTCCGTCGGGGGTGAGTGTGCCCTCGGCACGGACGTCCTTGAGGACAGACAGGAGGAGTTCCACTGCCTTGCTGCTGCTTTGCCCCGTCTCGTGTCCTTGCTAGTTGCCCCTGAGGGAGACCCGGATGCACCAGACATCCCGACCCCACGCTCTTACGCTGAGGCGATGGCGGGTCCCTACTCCTCTCAGTGGCAGACAGCCATGGACGCAGAGATGGCCTCCTGGAAGTCCACAGGCACCTACGTAGACGAGGTTCCCCCTCCTGGGGCGAACATCGTCAGTGGCATGTGGATTTTCAGGGTGAAGCGGCCGCCGGGTTCTCCACCTGTCTTCAAGGCGCGCTACGTGGCTCGAGGCTTCAGTCAGCGAGAGGGAGTAGACTTCTTTCAGACCTTCTCCCCCACCCCGAAGATGACTACTCTTCGGGTGCTGCTGCACATAGCCGCTCACCGCGACTACGAGCTTCACTCTCTTGACTTCAGCACTGCTTTCTTGCAGGGCAGCCTGCACGAGGAGATCTGGCTGCGTCGCCCCCCTGGCTTCACTGGGTCAGTTCCTCCTGGCACCCAGTGGAGGCTTCAGCGGCCGGTCTACGGTCTCCGCCAGGCGCCACGTGAGTGGCACGACACACTGAGGACGACACTTGCGGCTCTTGGGTTCGCTCCCTCTACTGCTGACCCGTCGCTGTTTCTACGCACCGACACCTCGCTGCCGCCGTTCTACATCCTCGTGTACGTCGACGACTTGGTCTTTGCCACTGCTGACACCGCGGCACTCGCTCACGTGAAGTCGGAGCTGCAGAGGAGACACACGTGCACAGACCTGGGTGAGCTGACGAGCTATCTTGGCTTGCGGATCACCCGGGACAGAGCACGGCGCACCATCACCCTGACTCAGTCACACATGGTGCAGCAGGTTCTCCAGCGCTTCCGCTTCACGTACTCCTCGCCTCAGTCCACTCCTCTGCCTACCGGTCACTCGCTCTCAGCTCTGCCTTCGGATGAGTCCGTAGAGCCGAGTGGCCCGTATCCAGAGCTTGTGGGCTGCCTCATGTACCTGATGACCTGCACTCGACCTGACCTTGCATACCCTCTTAGCATCCTAGCACGCTATGTCGCTCCTGGCCGTCACCGGAAGGAGCACATGGATGCTGCTAAGAGGGTGTTGCGCTACTTGTGCAGTACGTCGGGCATGGGGCTTGTGCTTGGAGGGCGAGACCGGGTTGTTCTCACAGGGCACTCAGACGCTTCTTGGGCAGACGACCAGGCTACTCAGCGGTCGTCGCAGGGTTACACCTTCAGCCTTGGCTCTGGCTCAGTTTCTTGGCGTTCTACTCGCTCTTCTTCTGTTCTCAGCTCCAGTTGTGAGGCTGAGATCTACGCCACAGCCTTGGCTGACCTACCTGCTGACCGACCTCGGAGAGCGGCCTCGTTCTCCTCCAGTGCTGTACGTCGACAACAAGGCTGCCATTGCCTTGTGTGAGGAGCACAGACTGGAGCACAGAACGAAGCACATCGCTCTGCGGTACTTCCTTGCTCGAGAGCTGCAGCAGCGTGGTCAGCTTTGTCTGCGTTACGTGGCCACGGAGGCCAACACTGCTGATGTGTTCACCAAGGCGCTTCAGCCTTGTGACCATCAGCGCTTTTGCACGCTGCTAGGCCTTGTACCTACTGGGCCTCACTTGCTTACCTCTTGACCTTGCTTGTACTGTGATCACTATATATATATGCCTACTTGTTTACTTTTGCTAGGTTGTGATCACTGTATCTCTTGCTTTGTTATAAACCTGCATGTGAACTGGTCTTGTGACCGCTTGCTTGTGCTCGGAATTTGTGTGGAATCCTTGAGATCCACCCTGAGCTTGCTTTGCTTTGCTTTGACTGGTCTTGTGACCCTGTGGTTGTCTCCCACTGCGCCTATGGGGGTGTGTCAAACATTGCATGTTTATATTATGTAGGCTGTAGTGGGTTACACCTTAGGGGGTACTCAAAGTTAGGGTTTCCTACTTGTACCAAACTCTGTGCTAGTTCATTCCATTCCTGCTCAGTTATTTCTGACACAAATGTCAACGCATCCTCAGCACCGCCCTCGTCTCCTCCCACCACTTCATGCACATAGTGTCGCAAGATCATAATACTAATTTAACACAAATCCGGGTACTCCAGAACTCCAGACATTCTGGGTATGGCAGTCTTCGCCATATTGCCACATGGCCGTTATTGTATCAGTAATAGCTACTACGGTGTCCAGGCCTACTACGACGTGACCGCATGAGACGATCAAGAACATTTAACAGAAGCAACGCTCCATCGACATTGGTGGTCCTGGTAGCATCTGCCAAAATAACCCAACGACAACTCGTGAAGCAATGTGAAGCATCAATGACGGCAAATAACAAGACGTCCCCTACCTTCGGAGTCAGTGACGTGCGTACGCCTGCACCTCACGCGGCGCCGCCCATCCTCGTGGGTACTTTCCTCCGGGCGTCCTAAGAGACACGTACACAACGCGGCGCAGCGCGAGGTAAAAAACGTGCGGCAGGGTTCCCAAACTTGGCAGCACGCTGTCAAGCAATTTGAGTTGTTTAGTACGCACCTGTGTGTGACTGGACGTGCATCGTAGGAGTTGCGGCGCTAGACCCGCAATCGCCTGGGGCCCCGTACGCTGAGCTCGAGCTGGCGTTGTTTGGAGGGTCGGACCCTCCCGTCCCAACGGCGCATCATTCGCGTCACCTCTGTTGCCCCCAAAGAAAAAGTCGAAGAGATCATTCGCGCGGGTGGAACATCCGCGTGCACCGGCCGGGGAATCTCCGCGCTCCGCACCCGCGGCCATTTGCTCAACCTGCAGCGTCTCTGGGCTATGTGGTGCAGAGTGTGCTGCATTTACATTCCCCTCCGCTGATATCTTCGTATTTCCGTCCGTCTCTGGTCCCGTACCTGGCTGCTTAGGTCCCAGGACTCCCTCCTCCGTTTGGTCATCAGAGGAGGCTACCATCGGCTGTCGGCCAGCACCCGAGTGTGGCTCGGGTGTTACAGTCACAATGACGGTTTTTTCCCGACTGGTATCCGCATCCGCACTTATATCACCACACGCTGGCGGAGCCTGCACATGCGCGCCATCGCGATCAAAGGAATCCCTTGAGAAGCTTGTGGATATGACGCCCCGCTTCCTCAGTGTCGTTACTGCTAGGGGAAGACATACAGGGCACTATATTAGGGTTTGACGGAATATCCACACAGTTAAACATGACTCATTGTATATGCCTCCCAACCACCGAGGCCACGTCGGAAGCCATATCCATCCGCGATAATGCCGGGGCGAATCTCGCTGTTTGCCCATGTACACCCGTTTAGAATAGGGAGAGTGTAGTACAACGTGTACAAAGACGTTCGCCAGTTTGTAATTTCCAAAAATATGATCTAAACACGAAGCACATCATACAGCAAAACTCCACCTTACATTGGCATATATTCAAAAGTATCTGACACATTTTAAACCCGCTCGATAGCAACCCAATCCCACGCGCCGGTAAGTACATTGCGCCGCTCTACCGCTTAAAGGTGGACTTCACGAGGCGAATAGAGGCATAATCTATATGCTTGGATGAGGTGCCCTTCATAAACCCCGCCTGGGTGGGCTTCGTTGGTACCTTGGACCACCACGGGAGCATCCCGAGCGCTCGATTGAGATCCCCAATACGCACTCCTCCTTCCATTTCCTTCCACTCTGTGAGCCCGTTCACCTGCAAGATGCTTCATCAAGGTTTAGCTGGGGACAGGCTTGCACCACAGCACCAGTGCACGAGAGCGCATGCGGAATGGCAACGCTCTCTAACACTTGCATTGGAAGAGGTGCCACCTCCTGTGTATATGTCTCGTGGGTAAGGTGCCGAAATTCTAGACCCATCGGACCGACGTCTCTCAGCCTGCACACCAGAAGAACATGCCACACAAGACATTGGCCATATGGAAAAGTAACACGTCGGCCCACCAACGAACCTCACCTCATAACCCATCGCCCTCGCCTCTGCCATTGTAACGGCTCTGTAGTCAAACGACGGTAACCCCGGCAGTATGACATCATCGAGGCTTGTTGCGCGGTGGTTTACGACCCTGTAATCAGCTATTGACGTCATGAACCGCCGACCTTTGGCACGTGTGATGCTCGACTCCGACTCGTCCGGATACGTGGCGTAAACGAGCCTCAGGTTAATGAACGGTGTGGCCGCGTCGGGAGGTATGGCAAGAGACGCACGGGCTTCTATGATCGCCTGCGCACGGTGCTGTCTAGGACTGCGCCATCCACTACCGAGGAAGGGGTCCAGCGAACTCAGAACGGTGGGTGCGCTAAGGCTCTCACCTCGTTGAGTAAGCATGGCACCATGCACCTGCATTATGGCATAGGCTATCGTGGGCTTTGACCGTATGAAATAGCTCCGTGTGTTGCGCCGTCGAGGCTCCAGCACGTCGCGCGATTTTGAACGCGTTACGCTCATCTTCCCAATACCAACTGAACTCTGTACTGGCTCCTAATGCGCTAGGGTTTGAGGCGAGCAGTAGGTTAGCGCGGGCGTCAGTCTTACGGGAATCGGGTAACGCAATGCTGGTACGGTACGAAGCGGTGTGGTATGGTTTTTATGTGAACTGGCACGCAACATGGTCATCTTGTTGGACCGAACACTAGCCTTAGGTATTAATCATGCATTTAAATAACTGTGCCATAACGGGGAGAGCCTGGACATCCCTTCATCCCCAATGTAAGCAAACCCGAGACGTACTGGAGACAAATGTCGATTTGCTGATTACATAACAAGCGTAATTGGTAATAATAACAACATTATCATCAGATGTCACAACAGCCCATATTCAATATCCTCCCGAACGCTACACAGTGATGTGGAAGGGGACTGGAAGCATATCTCCTCGCTGGCCGTTGGAGACATGGACGACGAAGGCGCGTAGGACTGCATCCGCACCTTCTTCTCTGGTGTGCGCACCAGGCGGTCCACAAGATCCGAGTTCCCCGGGCGCTTAAGCGTGACAACGTCACGCGGAGCAACTCCCTTCGCGCTGGCAAGCCTTGTGTACGCAGAGGATGCCATACACAGGAACCTGCGGCGAGTCCTGTTGTCCCACGAAATGCGGCCGTCACTGCTTGAATCATCCACGAGACGGATGACCGGCTCTGGCACGCATCCGGTCGTAACCTCGTCCATCTCGTCATCCCAAGTCGCATAGTCCATTGCTTCCATCACGCAGTCAGGGATGTCCAACTTGTCCAGCTTCCTCTGCAGGCCCATGAGGCTGGCAACGAGTTGCTCCACAACCTCGACATGCATGTCGCTGTTGATTGCGTGAAGCTGAGACATCCACTAGTCCGGGACGCACCCAGTGCGCCAGAACGTTAGCTGAATGTGGGATGTCGCCACCCCCCAAAGCGCTTCGTACGTCCACTGCAATGTCTTCGCGGCCGAAGGAGAGTTACCCCTCCACACCCATGCTGGTGGCACGCGCGTCATGAAGCGCGTCTGGTGGTCCACCCACATCAAACGGAATTCAGCCTTAAAGAACGCGACAATGCCCTGCACCACTGGGTTCCCCACGTCAGGAACAGTATCATGAAGCTGCACAATGCGAGTATGGGTTAGGTGGTGCACCACGAACGGCCCATTTGTATGCACTTTGCCCTCCCCCCAAGGGAGCCTGTGCCTACGCGAGGACACAAGGACGACGATGTCACGGTCCTCGGCCAATCTCGCAGCGTTGAGGCCAAGCATGAACTGTGTGAACAGCTGCACATAACAATAACGGTTATCGCAAAGACATTTATTAGGCACCAACGACATGAGTCCATATGTCGGAGACATAAATTTTTGTCATATAGATGGACATTACCTCTGGGGTTATGCGGCCGGACCGAGTACGGCGGATGTTCGCCCACTCGTCTCCATTCACATCGGAGCCCAGCCGCATTGGCTCCCGATCGTGGCTCACAACGACGGGCCTGAAGCGTTGTGCGCCGTCGGCGGAATAGAGAAGGCCGATAGACAGCCGCTTCAGCTCTGTTACATTGGGGCCTTCGAACGGATGCAGGTATGGCTGCAGCGCAGGGCAGAGAGTAACTTCTACAAAGATATAGACGTCACTGGGAGATGCGCCAAGCCGCGTAAATAAATCCTTTAAAGCCGCCAAGGAAGTGAAATGGCGTCCGAGACACAGAGCGGCATATGATATACCCGTTAGAGCGGGCGGAAACACCGTCCAATGTCGCTGCATCGTTGACAAGACGTGAGTCAAGCTTCTGTAAGCATCAGCGCCAGCGCACCACAAGTTATTTTGACCTGCCCAGCGTAGATTGGCCACAGAAGCACAGGATTGCGCAATGACGTGGGTACATCTCATAGGACATACGATTTGTGCGCGGTAGTTACCACATGTTCTTGCCCAGAAAGCTCATTTGAGACTGACTTCTCCGTCCACTGTATATGCATCTTCGCTACTGTACGCATTTATGTGTATGTCGGTAGACGAGGGTACTTGCTGTAAACTTCCAACAATCTCTATACTAATACTACATAATTTGCGTGCACATCAATCTACATCATGTTATTTGGATGCTGTAAACTGTACAGGCACTGTTGGTATTCGACGAGTTGTATAAACGCGATTCGAGACGATAACATTAACAATACAGTGAACGTAAATGGACATAGTGGTATTCGTAACAAAATCGATATTCGCATCTCAATGTATCTCTAACGGGACATATGTCGGCCCGTTAAGAGCTGCACAATTGAGAAACACAACCTTTCGGATGGTCGCAGGTTTGCATGCTGACGAGGGTACAGCATCCTCGGCTTGTAACAGGCACGTGACAAGTGTCATTTTCACCAGCAATCAGCTGCCAGTCGCGAACCGCCATGGTGGTATTCACATTCTAGAAACGCGACCCGTTTTTGGGTCAACATCAACTGAGCGAGATCCGATATTTGTTACCCTTGGTGACTAGTTGAGCCTACAAGAGGTTCTGTCGCCCGATAGCCCGACGGCTAATTTGTTGCCAGACTAGGGTTTCGGCCTTTCCCACCAACTCTGACTATCCATGGTTCCGCGAACCAAAGCGCAGGCCGCTAAACGCGGTCTCCTTAGGACCGAAGCCATGCCAACGCGTAGGCAATCGGCAGGAGCGCGGCGGGATAACACAACGATCCCGGAATCGCTGAGCAACAAGCGGATGCGCTCGCGTGAAGTCCAGCAGGGGAAAACGATTAAGGAGAACGCATCTGAGGCTGCTGTTTCAGCATGGGGCTCGCGGCTTCCCGGCGCCAACGAAGAGCCTGCGCCGAATGACGCGCTGACAGCTCTATTGACAGCACCATCCTCTTCGAAGTTCAAGAATTTGTCGCTGTATAACCACATGGGCGTGGGCTGTCAAGTGAATGCGCATGACGCCGTGTCGCTCGCCGACAAGCAATGCCTGAACGACGCGGTCATCGACTTCCACAACATGTGCGTGGTCGACGGCAGTACTCCTACAGCCTTGAACGCCACCGGGATGGTATTCCGATTTTAACGCTTATTAATCCGTTGTGCGTTGTCCCGCCGCACCCTTGCAGCCTCCTGAACATCAGGTACCCGGCATGCCCGAACGGGAAATCCTGGGTGGCCCTAGACAGCAAGGCGTATGCGTATGCCCAGATGCACGGCAAGCCGGTCGGGAGATGCACGGGCCCATCCGTGTTCGAGTACGACTACATCGCTGTCCCAATCTTTGCCGGGTACATACGTCTTTCCCCCGGCAGTCTAATACGCCCATATGCAGCCCCCGCCTAACAATGAATCGTGGATCATGCAGGAAGCACTATTCTTTGATGGTGGTAACCAACCCGAGCGGGATAGTAACCCAGACTGCGACTCCGGTGGAATTCATTCTATTCGACAGTGAGGGCCTCCATACCAAGACGAGAGATGCCTTCGACGGGACTAAGGCGTGAGTTTCGTTAAAGAGCAGTGTGTGACACGTTCATTCAAACTCTTCTTGCGGCCGCATATGACCGGGTGGATGTGTGGTCGTGCAGGTTACTGCACCTCATGTGCACACGCGATCATCCGGAGGTGGACCCAGAGGCGGCTAGGCAGCGCCTTATCAATGCCACGACGGTGACTAGGGTTGGCTCAAAGTGCTCGGAATTGTTGCTATTACAGTAGCGGATTCTGATGACTTCCATCTTCGTGACTGAATTGTACGCAGGGTCACCAGATCCCCAAACAACCAAACAGCTGGGACTGCGGGGTGTACATGTGCTAGTATCTCGAAGCGCTGGTTGCATCTGGGTTTGTTCCTTGTGCAATTGGCACATCAGCAAGGAAGGACTGGCCTTTGCTTCAGGAGCGTTCTCGGCATGTGCCATCGCGGCGTTCGGAGGGAAGCGCTCCGACAAAGAAACAACTCTAAAGCTGTACCACATGTCGTGGCTCGAGCACCTGGTACGTTTACACCGTTGCGCACATATGATGTAGCCACGTCCGTAGAAGTCTCCGTTTTGAGTGGGTTTTTTTCGGCCATCGCAGATCACGGACGCCATTATCAACTGGGAGGCGCGCAAGGGGAAACTCCACAACTCACCGTGCGATAACGGCGCTTCTGTGCGCCGGATCCAGAAGCTGGCCTTTGATGCCATTGCAGATGCCGTGTGTGGGAATGAAGTGGCCTACGATGAGGAAATGAAGTCCTGGAAGTGGGGCAGGCATGGGCTCCGTCTTTCATCTTGCGGCCTGGAATGCCTCCTGGAAGACGAAGCATCCTTTGAAGACGATCATCAGGAGTCTGATGAGTCAGAGAGTGAATCCAATACCGTAAGCCCCCGGATAGAAGCGCAGGCCTCGGATAAGCGCCGGCGCTTATAAAAGGATGAGGGCGCTTATATCCGGTCCTCGATTATAAGCGCACCCCTTAAAAAATTCTGATTTATTATAAGCGCATGTCTATTTTTTATTCTGAAAATCAGTCGATTTCAGAAACGAATTTCTCTTTACCAGGGAATCGAAGTACAGGTCCACTTTCCCACTCACATCACACTTGCTGCGCGTCTAGTCAGCACTTGCTGTCGCTTAGTCAGCATGTGTTGGCAGGGAATACATCCCTGCTACCGTAAGTTGCGCGAGAATCAGATTCGCGACCCCAGATATATTCGACTCGATTACAATTGGCAGAACAAGGTGTACAGATTGGTGTAAAACAAATATAAACTTGCTTTGCCATTTTATAAGCGCCGGCTCTTATAAAATTCCTCAATTATAAGCGCACCCCCTAAAAAACAGTGTTTTTTTATACCCCCAGGGGCGCTTCTATCCGGGGGCTGACGGTATGTGACCTGCTTAGGGTTGTTTGGCAAATTGTGTGTCGTAGACTGGTGTAGTGCCTTAGTGGGAGGAGGCTATATTTGTTCATTTGGTGCGTATGTGGAATAAATCGAGGACAAATATGCAGGATTTTTAAACACTTAGGGGAGACCGTGCTCAACCTATAAACAAGGATGGTTTTACCACAGTTCCGTGCGTCACGGCGACAAGTGCGGCGCAATTCACGGCAACAAATACGGCGGGTTAATAGGGGTCGTTAGATGCCATGCTAGTTTAAAGACGTGGCGAAAGACCAACCGTACCTCCCTCCGATCAGCTCGTCAACGATACGTTACTTATTGGGTGCCGGCACAAGTGTCAAATGTATGTTGGCCACGTGGGTGTTGCAGATGGTCACAGGTGTCTTATCGAGAGATCCGCGACGATTACACGTGTATGTGCGGTTGGTAGCTGTAGTCCTAGTTGGACATGGACTATCTCCGATCGGACGGATTGCAGGTACAGGTAGATTGCACTACCAATCTAGGAACAACATCTGTAACGTACGGACGGTCGCGATGTGGCATATCCGTTTGAGTTTTGTAGGTCGGCGGCGTATCCGGAGCGGCCATGTGCCGGCTCCTGTTCGGGAAACCCTCGTTGCGATGAGACAATCGCCATCGTACAACTGTGACCATCTGGACCCTACATGCAGCACGCGCAGATTCGTTAGGGAATGGCATCCACCTGGCATAAAGCGTTATTACATGTGGAGATATTTTGCTGACGTGGAATAGTGACTTCATGTATGCTCCAATGCAGCTATGTGGCAACGCACAGGTGTAACCGTGGAGTGTCATCACGGTGACGCAAATGTCACCGACGAACACATGACGTACCCATGACGCTGTGCGTGTTGCGGCAATGTTGCGGGAACAGTTGCTAGAAAGCTGCGTGAGAGTTGCGGAAAAGCCACTTTCCCCGTAACCCCGACACAGAAGCGTTTGACCTATACTTAAATCTTGCGAAACCAAAGTTGCGTGAAAGCAACTTTTCCGGCCTTAGACTTTCGCGATGGTGCATTCAGTGCTCTCCCTTCCCAGGGTTTGCGCGGAGACGATGCACGGCGCAATCGCGGCGCGCCGTGCATGTGATGCTCGGCGCATCCCCTTGATCGCGCCGAGCAGATGCACGGCGTGCTTGCGCAGCGCGCCGTGCACGTGATGCTCGGCGCATCACGTGCGAGGGCTGGGAGGATGCACGGCGTGTTCGCGCTCCGCACGAAATTCTTGCAATGCTCGGCGCATCCCTTGATCTCGCGGAGCAGATGCACGGCGTGCTTGCGCGGCGCGCCATCTCTTGATTCTTGCCCCACCCCTTGATCGCGAGTGCGCCGGTGTGATTGCTCGGTGTGAATGCGAGCCGCGGATATCTTCTCATCTAGGCGCGGCCTCGTGAACACACCTCGCGCCTGCTGGACTGAATCCGCGCCGCGCCGTTGATGTTCTTGCTCGGCGCGACCTCATGGACACACCTCGCGCCTGCTGGACTGATTCCGCGCCGCGCCGTTGATGTTTTTGCTCGGCGCGGCCTCATGAACACACCTCGCGCCTGCTGTGTGTGAATCCGCG